TGGCACATATCTCCCTATATCTTCTGTTTCTTATATGCAGTTTTTGGCATTAATGTTTGATTGTACAGGCCGCTGCTAAGAAAAGATCAAGACGGCACTTGACAGAGACTGATGAATATGTCAGCGGGAATAATGAAGGACTCTTGATGGATGCAGTTACTGTGTCTACTGCTTATAAAAAAATGAAGTCACTCTGCATGAACATCAGAAATGAAATTTTTACTGATATGGAGATTCACAATCAAAATATACTTCCAAGGTATGTCTAATTTTAAACTATACCAAGATTAGTACGTGTCTAAAGTAAACTTACTTTTAGATTGATTAGTAATTACAACAAGTTGTTACTCACATCACTCAAATTATATATGCGAAGATGGTAAAGTGAAACTTCCAAGGTATGTCTAATTTTAAACTATACCAAGATTAGTACGTGTCTAAAGTAAACTTACTTTTAGATTGATTAGTAATTACAACAAGTTGTTACTCACATCACTCAAATTATATATGCGAAGATGGTAAAGTGAAACTTCCAAGGTATGTCTAATTTTAAACTATACCAAGATTAGTACGTGTCTAAAGTAAACTTACTTTTAGATTGATTAGTAATTACAACAAGTTGTTACTCACATCACTCAAATTATATATGCGAAGATGGTAAAGTGAATTGACTTTTTTGATAAAACAAACGTTAACATTGTTAAGTGTCTCACATGGTTTAGGGAATGTGTTATTGTTTCCTTATATGGTCTTGAGCAATCCTCACCTCTTGTGCTAGCTTTTGAGGTTGAATAGACTCAAAGTCCATTTTCTTAACATGGTATCAGATCCAAACCCATCCCTGTTCTTAATTTACCTAACGTCGGGCCCCATGTTATATTATCCATGCATAAGACGGTTACTCCTAGGGTTGCAGAAGGGTATGAAATGTCCCACATTGGCTGAGGAATGAACTGTTGTTTCCTTATATGGTTTGGAAATCTTCGCTTAATGAGCTAGCTTTTGAGGTTGAGTTAGACCCAAATTCCATTTTCTCAACAGATATGATCCTCCGTCCACCCTCCCCCCTCTGCCTCTTCTTAGCCCCCTTTCTCTCGTGCTTATGCATTGCATCTGCATTTCTTCTTTCATGCATAATACCAGTAAGCATGTTCTTTTATGACAACGAGTCCTAGGAGCATTTCTTGTACAATAAACGAGTCCAATGCCAAAAAAGAATCATTATTTGTTGTCATTTTTCGTAGCATTCCTAACTGTTTCAATGTTTTCAATTCTCTGTGCAGCTTCATAGACTTGCCGAATCTTTCCTCAGCCATATATAGTGCAGAACTTTGCTGTAGATTGCGTGCATTCCTGATTGCATGCCCCCCTGCTGGCCCTTCTCCTCATGTGACTGATCTTGTCATTGCAACAGCAGATTTTCAGAGGGATCTTGCCTGCTGGAATATCAAGTAATTCTTGCCTCATAGGTGCACTTTTTGATACATAAGATTTATATGCTAAATAGTGTAATGTTTTATGAAACAACCTGTGCAGGCCCATTAAAGGAGGAGTTGATGCGAAAGAGTTGTTCCATTTGTATATTATCCTGTGGATCCAGGATAAGCGGCTCTCTTTGCTGGAATCTTGCAAGCTGGACAAGGTACTAACTGAGGCTTTATCAGGCACTGTTTAAACCCTTATCTACTCTCTCTTGACTTGGTTCTATTATCCCCCACTATGATGAACCGCATTTCATATGATATACGTGTTTGGTGTGATTATTTTCCCGGACAGCAATTCGTGTGTATCAAACTCGTTTTCGTTCCAGCACGTCTCACTTACATAATCTTGCACTGTGCTATATTCTTTATTTATTTATTTATTTATTATTATTATTATTTGCGTTTTAATCTTTTGGATTAAGCCAGTCAATGCCTCTGTTTTTCTTTTCTCTCGTTTAAACATGCTTGCAGCTTCCTTATTATGATGAGTTTTGCATGTAAGCATGTAAGTGGAGGCTGGATGTGGATTTCAAGTGGATCCAGTATACAAAGGGATGAGAACCTAAAATCTAGATTAGGCTTCTTAATTTTCAGTAACCTAAAAGAAGGACAGGAGCAGCTTGAAAATATTGAGTCTTCATTTGGATGTCAAGATAGTTGCTAGAAAGCTTTTTCTTGAAAAATTTACAATAAAGTAAAAGAGAATCAAATTCATTTTCTTGCATGCGTTTGTTTGAGAGGAAAATGAAAATTTTAAATAAGAAGTTGTAAATCTTGCACTTTTTGCAGGGTTTAATTTGGAGGAAAGTTTATTTGGTGTGGGAGTTTTCACTTACTGCTTCCCAGATGCAATGCAAATTTAGCAACTAAAAGGAACTTGTAATTGAAACTACTAGGGTCTAGATTTATTGCTTTTGCTTAATTTTTTAAACAACAACAACAAACCCAGTGTGTTTCCACAAGCGGGGTCCGGGGAGGGTAAGATGTACGCAACCCTACCCCCCTACCCTGGGAGGACAGAGAGTTTCGTATAGACCCTCGGCTAAAGAAAGAATGAAAAAAAGTCATGCCAACAAGTAGTGACAACAGTAAGATAAAACAAGAAGGTCGAAGCCAAGAAAGCACTTAAACACTAAGGGGTCGTTTGGTAGGAAGCATTAGATAAGCTAATGCATGCATTAGCTTTGTGTATTAATAATACATTGTTTGGTAGACATTTTGAACCTATGCATTAGTTATGCAAGCATTAGTTATACATCCTATTTGGTATTATCCTATGCATAACTAATGCATAGAAAACAATGGTATTAGCAATGCAATGGGTTTTAATGCATGCATTAGCTTAGTTAAAGACAAAATTGTCCTTCAAAATTTATGCTTGATTAAAATATGCTAGTTAGTATATTAATGCAAGTTCAAAATAATCCAAATAGTGAGAAATAAAATTATATCCCTAGTAAATAAATAAATACTTAGCATATTTCCTTTTTTATAAATAAATATTTAATTTTATTTTACAATATAGGTAGACAAATAAAATAATTTTTTTAAAACTTTTTCATATAAAAACATTTCTCAACATATGTTTCTTTTAAAAAGTTCGAGTGGACTAATTTTGAGGACATTTTTGTAAACAAACAATTCTTTTAGAAACTGTGCAATGCTTTAATACATCAAACCAAACAATGGATAAGAAATATGTCAGCATAACTAATACCAGCATAACTAATGCAAGCATAACTAATACCAGCATTACTAATACACCCTATTCAGCATTATTCTTATGCACCCTACCAAACGACCCCTAAGTAGTAATAACAATCTAAGAATAAAGAGAAATCATACTAACGCTAATGGTATCGCACCAAGAAGACATAGGGAGAATGCTCGACTACCTACTAACCTACTACCCTAATCCTCGACCGCCACACCCTCCTATCAAGGGTCATGTCTTCAGTAAGCTCCAGCTGCGTCATGTCCCGCCTGATCACTTCTCCCCAAGACTTCTTAGGCCTACCTCTACCCCTCCTAGACCCACCACTGCTAACCTCTCACACCTTCTAACAGGGCCTTCTGTGCTCCTCCTCTTAACATGCCCAAACCATCTCAACCTCGCCTCCCGCATCTTATCCTCCACGAGGGCCACACCTACCATATCCCGAATAATATCATTCCTAATCCTATCTAACCTGGTATGCCCACACGTCCATCTCAACATCCTCATCTCAGCTACTTTCATCTTAATTTTTTAAGATGGGTCAATTCATATAGCAATGGAATCTTAGTTTTATATGCTTGCTTATATGGAAAAGAAAATTTGACTCTTTACACTACTGACAGCTTCCGTAATTCTGCATCAAGTTAATATAGGCATTCAGTTAGCACTGGTTTTCACGTTCTGCTGATATATTCTATCCTTTATCCTTTCCTGATTGGTGCTGAATAAACTCATTATCTCACAGGTGAAATGGTCGGGAGTGAAAANCATTAACTGTCTAAAGTAGTGAACATTTTGAAGACCTATTAATTCTAACAACTGATTAAGTTGATCATTCGGACCTTTCAATTCATACATGTAGATCTCAGACCTCTGAATGATTAACAGTGAAACAGTAGTTATTGAATACCAATTTCCCAGTACTCATTATCCCTTTTCTTTGGTTTCTTCTGTTTCTGCCTGTCCTTACTAAAACCTGGAAACTGTGCACAGTGTGGATATACCAGTATATAATCTGCCAGTGCCAAGGTTGATTTATTTAGTTGCTGAAGAGGACTGGTGCATTGTAGACTTCCCCATTGGGATGTTGTATGAAAAGGAAACTTGTTACATAGGGATTTTTATTTCCTTTTCATTTTCCCTTTTTTGCTTCATTTTCTTCTTCTGTGAGTGAACATATTGTTGCTTGCTTGAGATAAAAGGAATCAAATGGATGGTAGCAAACGAGCTGCTGTTGCACTCTGCGTTCATGTTACATTTTATTTATTTTTCTTTTGTTATAACTACTATTTTGTTTTATAGTTAACACTTCTCTTTTTGTATTTCTCTTAATGTCATAAAGGCCATTGCTGATATTGAGAAAGCAATTTTGGATGCACTAGAGAAGCAATATGCAGATGTCTTGTCACCATTAAAGGAGAATTTGACACCCAAGAAGTTTGGCCTCAAATATGTGCAAAAACTTGCCAAAAGATCAGTTTGCCCATATATTGGGCCAGATGATGTACGTATCCTCGTAGCTCTGCCCTTCATCAATTTTTATTCATATATTTAGGCCTGAAACATGTTCCTTCTTTCAGCTGGGTATTCTTTTGAATTCAATGAAGAGGATGCTTGACATTCTGCGCCCAAAAATAGAGCAGCAATTTAAGTCCTGGGGTTCATGTATCCCCGAAGGAGGGAACACCGCCCCTGGAGAGCGCTTGAGTGAGGTGACTGTGATGCTTCGCTCTAAATTCAGAAATTATGTGCAAGCAGTCATCGAGAAGCTCGCAGAAAATGTAAGTTTTGCCCTACATTTTGGTTAAATCTAAAATTGAAAGGAATCCACCTAGATAATGCACAAACTAAAGGCCAAATACATAGGCGGCCCCTTAAAGCTGGCATAATAAAGTCTATACATATTGAACTAAAGTCACTTACAAAGAATGCCAATTAAACACTTCACACAATGTGCATAAATAAGTTCAGGCGCATGACAACAAATACTTCTGACGTGGCAAATCAGACAAATAATCGAAAGCCACGTGGAAATATTAAAAAACCCCTCCTCTTCCTGACAACTTTGGATCCCCTGTCCGGTCCCCTCCCCTCTGTTCTTCTTCGTTCTTTGTTCTTTCAGTCTTCTGCTTTTTCGTTTGCTTCTTTCTTCCTCTTCTACAATTTCATCTTTTGCTTCTTTTCTTCTAAATCTACATCCAAAATCCGGAGCTTTCTTCCTTTTTTCTCTTAATATATATTTCACACTACAGAACACCCTTTTTGCCCTTTTCTTGATCACATTCATCACCCAACACTTATCTTCCATTTTTATTTGGTCAAAAATTAAGTTCATTTGCTATTTCAGTATTCTACTGGTTTTAATTTAAATCTTTTGAAATATTGATGGTGAGATGATAACAATACGAAATAACACCTGTAACTACCACGACCAGGAATTACAGTCACACTAAGGCCACTCAAAACTGTAAATATTTGATATATAAATAATCCAAATATTCATAAGATGGGAAATAACTGGTTTGGTTTCACTTGACTGAGTTGACTAGAACGCCAGTGTAAAAATCTGGTTGAAGGTGGCGTTTTGGGGTTGAAAAAGAGTGGTCTTTAGTTTGTGAAAGGTTGTTAGAGCTAAACAACAGAAGCTAAGATCAAGATGAAGTTAAGCTTGTCGGCAAGAGTTGTCTGCAATGGCTCCAGTAAGATGATCCGTGATTTATTCGGGGATGGTTAAAGGTGGCTCGGAGATTAAAGTTGGTGATGTGGTTTTAAAACAAAAATGATCTTTAAAAAAAAGAGAAAAAAAAAAAGAAAAAATATGTTTTTGATCAACTCACGCGGTCAAGAGATGTAAAAAACACTTTCTTGCCGTATCAGCTATTGTGTTTAATTGGCACGCTTTTGTTGGGTTAGAGTGGTCAATAGGTACAGCCTTAGTTAAAGTGTCCAAATGAAAATTGGTCCAACTTTGAGGGGCTGCATATGTATTTGGCCGAAACTAAATACAAGGTGAGAATAAAGTCAATGCTTCATCTAAAATAATTCTTTTTTTTTGTTTTCACTATTTGGATTGAGGGGAGAGTAAAGTGCACATGATGTATTTAGTAGGCTCTGTTATGCAGATCTTATGCTGCTGATTTAGCAGTATTTGATTCATTCATTAAAAGAAACTCGTAACTGATACCCATAATTGAATTTTCATAAGTAGCACCAGTCAGATTCTGCATTTTATCTCTTTCAAACCAATCCATAGACTGACTACTAAACTAATATCACTGTTCCTGCTTCAGACGAAGTTGCAGAGCAACACAAAGTTGAAGAAAATTTTACAAGATTCCAAGGAGAGTGTCATAGAATCAGACATTAGAAGTAAGATGCAGCCATTGAAGGAGCAACTTACGAGTACAATAAATCACCTTTACACCATATTTGAGCCTAATGTATTCATCGCAAGTTGTCGAGGCTACTGGGACAGGATGGGACAGGTTAGTTTGAACTTATGGTTGATAGCTTAGTGTTCATTTTTGTGCAAAAATTATTACTAATTTCACTCTGCTGCAGGACGTGCTAAGTTTCTTGGAAAGCAGGAAAGAGAACCGGGCTTGGTACAAGGGCTCGCGAATTGCAGTCTCTGTAAGTAGCAACATCGTTTTGCTAGTTACCAACTATAAAGTTAAAACAACATTCTAGCACAAAGTGCATCCAATTTTATCATTTTGTGTATTTGACTTTTGCAGATCCTAGATGATACATTTGCCTCTCAGATGCAACAGCTTTTAGGTAATTCGCTTCAAGAGAAAGACCTTGAGCCTCCAAGGTCCATTCTTGAAGTGCGTTCCATGCTTTGTAGAGATGCAACAAATAACAAAGGACCAACTTATTATTACTAGATGTAATTATGTATAGATGTCCTATTCATTTTACTTTTCAGTTTCATTTTTTCGTTTCTTTTTGGTTCCGACAACGAAAAGAGAAAGAAGGGTGTAGTAGCTATAGCCTATAGCCTATAGGTGGATTCGCCTCAGATTAGGGGGGGACGTCGGTGCTGAGGAGATGTGCTCTCTTATGGTGTTTTAGGCCTGCTACAGAAGAATAGGATATAGTTTCTCACACAGTCATTTTTGTTGTGGAAGCAGGTTACTCTACTGCTCCTGCTGTATTAATAGCGATATAAAAGACGTATAGCAATTCACTTTTTATTCCAGGTCTTGAATTACAGACTACCAGATTTCTCTTCCTTCGAGCAAGAGTTAATATGCAGCTCTCCTTGTTTATTACAAACTTAAGAGAAGCGGCAGCTGCTGCCTAACTCAACCATATAAGTAGCTCAGCGACGAGGATTGTCCACCGTTATCTATATCTATCTATATTCTATATTATTATAAAAACATGAATAATTTATGCTAAATATTATGAGACAAAAATAACCTTTAAATATTGACAAACTTTTATACCCTTTATTAACTTAATATCTCTAAAATATTAATGTACAAAAATGTAAATTGTAGAGTACAAGTCAAAATCTAGAATCTAAGTTCAAGTTAAAAAGTTAAAAACGCTATATTTGTCAAAGTGTGGAATCCAAGCACAAGTTTAAATCACATATTGTCACGATCTGGATTTCCCACCCTCGGGAGTCGTGATGACACCTACTAGTGAAAGCTAGCCAACATTGCATAAACAGTGAAAATTTAAAAGCGGAAGACTGAAATGTAATATTTTAATAAAGATGTCAATACCAATCCATACATAAACTATCCAAAATTGGTGTCACAATTCCATAGATTGTCTAGGAATACTACAAATAAAGGCCCGAAAGAGTTAAAACAAACACTGTCTCTGGAATACATAAAAGAAACAGAATAAAAGGATAGGAGAACACGCCAAGGCCTGCGGACGTTTGCAGGACTACCTCGGAATCTCCGACAGGACTGAAGGCAGAAACCCAAAGCTACGATCGGTATGCTCCATCGGGATCTGCACACAGTGCAGAGTGTAGTATCAACACAACCGACCCCATGTGCTGGTAAGTGCCTAGCCTAACCTCGACGAAGTGGTGACGAGGCTAGGACCAGACGACCAAATAACCTGTGCAGTTTAATCATATACAATGGAAAATAAAAACAGGAATGTACAGTTAGGGATGAGAGGGGGAAACATGCTGCGGGGAAACATCAAATGATAATAGAAGGACATCAGGTAAATATAAGGAACACCATAACTCAATTATCAACAGGAATCAGAAATCAAACAAGTGCACGACATCACCCTTCATGCTTTTACTCTCGTCCTCACCATAAGAATCAATATAATCTGCACGGCATTACCTTTCGTGCTTTTACTCTCGTCCTCACCATGAAATCAATATAATCAGTACGGAATGGTGCATCGTGTGGGACGGCATCACCCTTCGTGCTTTTACGCTCGTCCTCACAAAATCATACACGACATCACCCTTCGTGCTTTAACACTCTCTCACCAAAACAATGCACGGCATCACCCTTCGTGCTTTAACACTCTTCCACACCCAAACAACAATCACAAGCAATAAGGGCAAGGAAATAAATAAAGTCACAATAAAATCCCGGCAAGGGAGCAATAGTTCAACAATCAAATCCTGGCAAGAAAACAATATCAAAAGCATCAACATCCCGGCAAAGGGAGATATCATTAAAAACAACAACATCCCGACAAGCGAGACAATATAATAATTCTATTCTTCTTTTCACATTTACTTTACAACTCACTTCACAACTTGAGCCAATGCTCTATAAGGTTCAATTGCTAGTTATACTTCCACAATTCATTATACAACTTGAGCCAATGCTCTTCAATATTGAAATACCACTATTACTTCCACAAGCTTTGCTCAACAATAGAAGTCATCCGTAAGGCATGAACAATACAAACAGAGTCACATTATTCATAGTATAAGACTCACGGGCATGCTTGAAACCAACGTATAGATACTCGTCACCATGCCTCAACAAATAACACATAGCAAATAGGACACAACTCCTAATCCCTCAAGCTAAGGTTAGACCAAACACTTACCTCGATGCCACAGACACAATTCAAGTCTCAACTATCGCTTTACCTCTTGATTCCACTACCAATTCGCTTGTATCTAGCCACAAGTTACTTAACTATATCAATAAATGCTAAATGAATCTATTCCAATGCATGAAAATAGGTTTTCTAAAGTTTTTCCAAAAAGTCAAAAATCGACCCCGGGCCCACATGGTCAAAACCCGATTACTCATTCCCCCACAAACCCAAATATATAATTTGTTTTGAAACAGGACCTCAAATTGAGGTCCAAATCCCCAAAATTTTAAAAAGTCTAGGTTCTACCCAAAACACCCAATTTCCCCATGAAAACCTTTGATTTTGAGTTAAAATCATGAGAAAAGATGTTAAAGATTAATAAAAACAAGTTAGAAATGACTTACAATCGATTTGGAAGAGTACTTGTCCTTGAAAAATCGCCCAAGAGTGTTTTGGTTTTGAAAGGGTTTGAAAAATGAAAGATTTTCGGCTAAGTTATGAATTTGCAGGTTGCAGATGTCGCAATTGTGACCAGGGTTCGCAATTGCGAACCCTTCAGACAACTGCTATCATCGCATTTGCGATTACTGTTCGCAATTGCGAACTCGCTTTTGCGATGGGATTGTCGCATTTGCGACACTGAAGGATTCCAGGCCACTTCGCAAATGCGATGGGCCCTTCGCATTTACGATATCGCTTTTGCGATGACTTCGTCGCATTTGCGACCCCAAGGCAGACCAGGTCTTTTTTGCATTTGCGATAAACGTTCGCATTTGCGAGCCATGCTTCGCATTTGCGAAGCCTGCAGACCTGCAACATACAAGCTAAAAACTTGCAACTTCCTAAGTCCAAATTTCACTTCGAGGCCTATCCAAAACTCATCTGAGCCCTCGGGGCTCCAAACCAAACATGTACAATAACCCAAAAACATCATACGGACTTGCTCGTGCAATCAAATCACCAAAATAACATCAACAACTATGAATTTATCATCAAAATTAAAGAAAATCTTAAGAACTTTCAAAGTTTCAAATTTTACAACTAAGGTTTCGAATCACGTCATATGACCTCCATTTCTCACCAAATTTTACAGGCTCAACTTAAATCACATATAAGATCTGTACCGGGCTCCGGAACCAAAATACAGGCCCGATACCATCAAATTCCAAATCCAAACAATTTCATTTCCAAACACTTATATATATTCCAGAAAATAATTTTCTTTAAAAATTCATTTCTCGGGCTTGGGACCTCAAAATTTGATTCCGGGCATACGCCCAAGTCCCATATTTTCCTACGGACCCTTCGGGACCGTCAAATCACGGGTTTGGGTCCGTTTACCCAAAATGTTGATCGAAGTCAACTTAAATTCTTTTTAAAGGCAAAATTTATCATTTTTCATAGATTTTCACATAATGGCTTTCCGACTACGTGCCCGTACTGCGCACACAAATCGAGGTGAGATAGAAAGAGGTTTTTAAGGCCTCGAAACACAGAATTTATTTCTAAAACAAGTGATGACCTTTTGGGTCATCACATTCTCCACCTCTAAAATAATCGTTCGTCCTCGAACGGATATAAGAAGAAAGTACCTGAGTTGGGGAAAAGATGGAGATAACGGCTCCGCATATCGGACTCAGACTCCCAGGTCGATGCCTTAGTAGGCTGACCTCTCGACTGAACACGTCAGAAGGGAAACTCTTCGATCTCAACTAACGAACCTACCGGTCTAGAATAGCTACCCGCTCCTCCTCATAGGACAAGTCTTTGTCCAACTGGACAGTGCTGAAATCTAACACGTGGGATGGATTGTTGTGATACTTCCGAAGCATGGACACATGAAACACTGGATGCACGGCTGATAAGCTCGACGACAACGCAAGTCTGTAAGCCACCTCTCCCACTCGATCAAGAATCTCAAACGGGCCAATGAATCTAGGGCTAAGCTTGCTCCTCTTCCCAAATCTCATCATGCCCTTCATAGGCGACACCCGAAGCAATACCCGCTCACCGACCATGAATGCCAAATCACGAACCTTACGGTCGGCATAACGCCTTTGCCTGGACTGAGCTGTACGAAGCCTATCCTGAATGATCCTGACCTTGTCCAAGGCATCCTGTACTAGATCCGTACCCAACAACTGAGCCTCTCTCAGCTCAAACCATCTAATCGGCGACCGACACTGCCTACCATATAAAGCCTCATAAGGAGCCATCTGGATGCTCGACTGGTAGCTGTTGTTGTAGGCAAACTCTGCTAAAGGCAAAAATTGATCCCACGAGCCTCCAAAGTCAATGACACAAGCTCGGAGCATATCCTCCAAAATCTGAATAGTTCGCTCAGACTGCCCGTCCTTCTGAGGATGAAATGCTGTGCTCAACTCAACCCGTGTGCCCAACTCCCGTTGAACTACTCTCCAAAAATGCGAGGTAAACTGCGTACCTCGGTGCGAAATGATAGACACGGGCACACCATGAAGACGAACAATATCCCGGATATAGATCTCAGCTAACCTCTCGGAAGAATAGGAGACTGCTGCTGGAATGAAATGTGCTGACATGGTCAGCCTATCAACAATAACCCACACTGCATTGAACTTCCTCTGAGTCCGTGGGAGTCCAACAACGAAGCCCATAGTACGCTCCCACTTCCACTCAGGAATCTCAATCTTCTGGAATAAACCACCAGGTCTCTGATGTTCGTACTTAACCTGCTGACAATTCAAACACCGAGCCACATATGGAACAATGTCTTTTTTTATTCTCCTCTACCAATAATGCTACCACAAATCCTAATACATCTTAGCGACGCCTGGATGAATAAAGTACCGGGAACTATGGGCCTCCTCTAAAATCAACTCCCGGAGCCCATCCATATTAGGCACACAAACTCGACCCTGCAGCCTCAAAACTCCATTATCTCCTAAGATAACCTGCTTGGCACCTCCTTGCTGCACCGTGCCTCTAAGGATACACAAATGAGGGTCATCATACTGCCGATCTCGGATACACTCCAATAAAGAAGAACGAGCGACTGTGCAAGCTAACATACGGCTGGGCTCAAAAACATCCCAGGTCCCTCAATGAACCCCTAAAACAACCGTTCGTCCTCGAACGGACATAAGAAGGAAGTAACTGAGTTGGGGAAAAGATGGAGATCACGGCTCCACATATC